TTTCTCTTCGCCTCGCTCTCTGGGGTCTGGCTGGTTGGGTGATTGATGGGCAGAACGGCTCAGGCTGGTGGTCTTCCGGGCGGGCCACAGGGCCGCGGCAGACCAGAAGCCCCCTCATCGCCGCCCTGCCTTACGGGAATACGCATAAAAGCCTGCGCCGGCCAGCCGTCCTTTTAATCTAAATGATATCTACTTGAAAAATCAAGTATCAGAAAAAAAAATTCTTGGTCCAAGAAGTCAGTTTTTTAGGGATCTAGTTTTAGCTGTTGCTGTTGCAAGTTATAGCTTAGAACTTTTCTTGCCACGCTGGGCTCCGTTCCCGGCTGCCCAGCTCTCTCTTGCCACCCCAGCTCCACCTCCAGCCACCACCCGCCGACGAGGCGCGGCAGGATAGACTGTCAGCGACGACCTGCCGCCGTGCGGGTGGGGGGCCCGTCCTCAGCGCCGCGGGCCCGTGTCGACGGCCACTGGCCTCTGAGTCGCGTGGTTGAGATCCGTGGCCGCTACCTTGACATTGCGATAGGAGAAGTGCCTGATGACTCGTCTTTCCAACTTACTTTGCACAGAGGTTCTAGGTGTTTAGGGTTTTTTTTTCCTGTTAAATTTTGCTATGCTAAAGCCGTTACGCCATTATGGTGTCTTTCTAACTAGCGAGTTGATAGTTACAATATTGTATTTGTCTGAGCTAGTCTTGTACACAGAACTGCGGTGCTAGTTGCGAAAATGTTCCTTACACATTTAAAGTGTATTCATGTATTTCGATATGAATTTAGCCTTTTCTCACATGGAATTTCTATTTTCCACGGTCCTGCCTTGTTTATAGTGATTGCGGACACCGAGTGTTCCGTTCGTATCTGAAAAGTTAGCCGGTTGCACCAGAATTGACGATTCTTCCGTACACCCGGGCCCGGGCATCTGATGGGTTATATTTTCCAGAAAAAGTGGTATCCTGCTCGGGCCCGAGGTTCGTTGGAGTTTGGAGAAGAAAACAACAAGACGACTTTATATTTCTGTCGTCTGCTGCGAGACTGGCATAAATACTTTTTAATATATATGTAAGAAATCCTTAACAACTCCTTAGCAAATCCCGGAAAATGAAGATTACAACCAGCATGATCAAGTAATCTGGAAAAGTAGAGTTTTTGTAAGCGCTCGTTATATAAAGCGTGCCTCAGGAAAACATGCTGGACGGAAGTCTCCAATGACCGATGACAAAGCTCGGGACCGGATATGACACTGTATCTACTCCATACAGCGGGTGTTTTAAATGTTCCATTTACCGCCTTAGACAACCCCACAGCAACCTCAACACACACTTCTCCATTAGACTGAGATGAAAATACAAACTGACTTCAAAACCTACAGTAGTTTGGTTGAAGAACGAGTTTCCTACTTAGCTCAATATTAGTTTGTGTTCATTGTTTTCCTTATTTTCATTTCCAATAAGTTCTGTATTTTTTTACTACTACTGGTACCTTTGCGAGAAAGACTGGGGTTTGCAAATTAACACGTTCCCTGCGGCTTGACCACCATGTGGTCACGCTCTCATGTTAAATTATTGACACTAAAAATTAGCCGCAGGGAACGTGCTAAAGGGTGTGTAATTTAAAAGTTTGTAAGATGAGTCGTTAGAGGCATTATCCTTCGGCAACCTAAAGTCAGACCAACCACACCACCGAGTACTGGTCAAGCGTCCGGTTCCGCCGTGCGTTGTGGGGCGGTTCCGGTCTCCAATCAGCTCCCAAGCCGACAAGCGTCTCGACCCAGGGACCCAGCGCGCGTCTCGACTGACGGGCTAGCACGCAGAGAGCTGACCGGTCGTCAGTAACGTGGAGAACGCTCATCTCTGCTAGCGCGAGCCTCGGGCTGGCCTCAGTTTGCTCGGTAGACGGTGCAGAGTCCCAGTGTGGCAAGAAAGTTATTTTGTGGGGCCGCCGAAGCTCCCACTGATGTCTGACTACTCTTGCATTTAGAGTCAGCGATGCCAACGCCCTATCGCGCATTTTCTACAGGTCATGTGACGCGAAACGGAAAGATTCTTCGCAGTACGGGCCCCGGGGCCCTTCTTCTCTAGTATGCACAACCCCCCCGAGCGGGGCCCTGCTGCACCAAGCGATCTCTTGGCGGTGCGCTGCGCCGGCGTGGCTGCCGTAGTTTAGGGGATGCACACCGCCAAAGCGTTGCGCCCCTGCGATCAGCTCAGCCTGGAGTGTTCCGCAAACCATCTTCCGGTCTGGATCCGAAGCGCCCGCCTCCGCCTCGAGCTCACGGCTCTGCTACACGCCTGCGCGCGGGCCGTGACTGTGTGGCGTGTATTTTTGTGTGCCCTGCAAATAACAGTTCACTCAATATTGTCGCACAATTGCTTAAAGTGAGAGTGTGAGGAATAAAAATCATAAAATTTAAATTGTTGCTTAACAAAACATTTGGACTCACTCAGAATACAATTAATAAAACGGGTTCGCTAAAATAGCTAAAAAAAGAAATGCTAAAAATCTTCTGAAATGCAGTCAGGCATCTTACATAACTCAGAAGGGAATATTTTCTAGTGTAAGTCTCCGATTCACGGCAAAATTCACGGTAAAAGATGCCCTTACAAAGACGCAACTTCCCCAAAGCTGGTATTTTCAGCAATGTTAGTGCCTCTGCAGAGGCATTGGTGCAGAAGCACCTTTTAAAAGTGTTGCCTAGCACCTTTGTTCTTCTTATTCACTTATTTTTTTTTAGAAGATTTCCTAAGGCCGGGGCAGGGACATATACGCCAAAACGATGACCTTACCGCTACCCTTCTAAAACGTGCGGTATCCCCTCCCCCGCCCTCCTCTTTCTCTTCGCCTCGCTCTCTGGGGTCTGGCTGGTTGGGTGATTGATGGGCAGAACGGCTCAGGCTGGTGGTCTTCCGGGCGGGCCACAGGGCCGCGGCAGACCAGAAGGAAGACCTCTGCAGCCGGATGCCCGTGCGGTGCAGGCTAGGCGCCCGCTGGCGCTGCGTTCGCAGTCTCAGATTTCACCTGGTATGCGCCTGTCTCGCAGTTATTTCACGTTTGGATGTAACGTCTGACACAATGTTGCACTCGCGTGGAAGTCTGCCGGAATGGCAGCCAGTGCACACCGAGCCCTCATCCCCGCGCACGGCTCGCCTGGTGAGCTGCTCTGCTCAGCCAGCTCAACGGCCCACAAGTTGGCGGGCGCTTTAATTTCCGTTGCCGCAACATTAAGCTCGCTTGAGGCCACTTTATTTCCCACTTATAAAGACGATATTAACAAAAGTGCCTCATTCCCGGTCCGCTCTCACCGACATCGCCCCTCCCTCTCTTCTTTCCCCTCTCCGCGAGATGCGGCGAACAACCATCGGGATAACCATGTTCTTTTTTGTGCGTGTGAGTAAAACAAGAAATGTGTGGTCTACTCTCTTGTTCGGTCTCATGTGCCTCTACTCCTGCAATCTCCTCCCTCTCCAACTCAGTGCGCATTTAGAGGTAGGATGCGTTAATGATTGCATCTGTAGGCGGACAAAGACAGAGGGCGATGGCTTTACCGGAGAAAATCCCCATCTTCTTCGTCTTCTTCTGCAAGTTCCGGGGCGGGCCTTCAGGCTTACCGGCAGAAATGGGGATGGAACAGGAGGAAGCAGGGGCCCTGCCACCCCACGCCGCGCTACGCCACGCACAGTACCCCCGGGCCTTGGCCTGGCCACCCAGACACTGGTAATCCCATCTTGATGATGATTGGTGTTTTCGGCCCCTAGCCCCGGCAGGGAGAGCCCGACAGCGCGCTTCGACGGTGGCGAAAATGGATCCCTATGGGTGTTCGGCACCAAGACACACACCCGACCGACTAGAGTAGATTTAACTGTCACTGGCTACTGGGCAGCTCCGGGCTTCCCCCTTAAGTCCGTACAGTACGTCAGGTGGTTAGAGAGTCCAATATGTCTTACTTTGTGTTCGGCAGGAGCCTCATCGAATAGTATACCGGTGGCCCACGATCGAGTTTTGGGGAATACTTTTTTATGAGTGTGGTTTTAAACGTGTTTTTGTTTCTTATTTTAGAAAGGTTTAGATTAAATTAAATATCTTAATTAGGTAATGTTTGTTTATTGAGATGAGTAACATTTAATTAATTTGGAACAATATTTAAAATATGTATGCGAAACAAATCTGTATATCATGAATAATTTTATGCGCAATCTAATAGATTATCTACGTAAACTTATAACAGGTGTAATAAGTGAAAGCTGGCACTTTTAAGGGTTTAGGAGGTATATTACAAAGAAAGACGCCCGGTATTGCAGAAACCGATCGTGCGAGATGCATAGCCATATGACAATACGACTTCAATGCTTTTTACAATAAAATCTGTGTTCCTTAATCAATGGATACACTTGGGAAAAGTATAGCAAAGAAGAACAGGCTTTTCAATTTCAAGTGCGTTCTTATTTACAAGTGTAACTACATTGTTCTGTGTCATTTATTTCCAGTGTGCAACTGTCAACTATCACGTATAATGTACCAGTAGGAACAGACAGGCTTAGTAAATCATGTGCGAACAAGAAAGAAAAATGTGCGTTTACCAATAATATTTACGTTTATGTTACGAGTTATAGTGTAAAGTCGGATTGTGATGTAGATGTCAAGGTTAGCATTATACACTCTTAACTTAAAACATCGTTGTGATAATGGAATAGTCCACCGGACTCAATATAAAATAATATCTTATATTCACATGAAATATACATTGAAAAGCCTTTAACATATCCAAGCATTAACAACAAACGGTATTATTCTTCTCCATGGCTCGCTTGCTTTCAAACAATCATATTTAAATTTTACCGTTTTCCCTCTCCATTTGACTACTTGTTAGGCAATTTTTCCTGATACTATTCCTACGGACGCATTCCCAAATTTTCAGCAATATCTATCCTACGGAAGAAAATAGATTTAAGAAACTAGTAATGCAACGCCAGTTTTCCTGAAATACTATAAATTTGACTTGTCTTTCCATTGATTTAAGATGATTTTGTGGGTGGGCACCTATACATGGTAACAATTCAATGTCATACACGGGCAGAGGCTGATTTTCATCAACATAATAAAATTTTATTACATAAAATGGCAAAACATGTGCTGCGGTACGTTACTACTGTAGTATACATCACGTATACAACTGATAACATTTACATAAACAGGGACAGAGAACGGCGCCCACTATGCTAATTAAAGGAGAGAAAACTCTACACAAAATGGTCCCCTACGTACTGAACAATTACAGGGAGAAGAAAAACGAGAAATCTATAATTAGCTTAAAAATAGGGAATCACTTTCTTTCTGAAAAATTACAATGAATTTAAGCAGACATTTTCTTAAAACTGTAATTTATTCTAGATAGTCGTTGAGATATGACAGCTGGTTCTCTAACAGCACCAGCTAATGCAATTGCATTATTAAATAGAGGCCTATATTCTTAAAATAATTCTAAGATATAACACATCTTTGGCCATTCGATGAGCCGACACCCATAATGATGATTACAGCTAATAAACAGTACTCTTTTAACCATTTTCTATGTTACTTTAGACATCACTTCGGGTGCAAAAATACATTTTCACTTATAAATATACCTTCCGTTAGCCATGATACAAGTCTCTTGTGGCCTGATGCCGCCACGCAGCAGCAAGCGTGGCCTGCGCCGGGAAGGTGTATAGCATTCACAATATCAGTTCCACTCACAGAGCACAATCTAATGTTAGCTTTTAAAGTCACGACCACGATGAATCACATTGCATGGGCGCACTCTTTCGGCCTTACGGCGTTAACGTATCAAATTGAATGAATCACAAAAAGACCGCCCGGAATGGGCTGAGTGTTCGTCTGGTCTCTCGCATCCTAACCGATCAGGACGGAGCGAGGCGCCTCCTTCGCGCTCGGCGCGAGGGGCTTCAAATACTAAACGGTGCTGATGATTCACCCAGGGGCGCGCGCGGGCCTCCTACAGTCCGCTGCGGAACGATCGGGAGTCCTGCAGGATACCGACCCTTCCTTCCTCGGACGACTCTTGCCAAGGCCACGAACTGAAATAGGGACAGGTAGCAGACGGTTAGACACAAGGCAACAGCACGTCTCCCGAGTGCTAGCGAAGGCGTGGCTCACCTGTAGGGGTCTTGCGCGCTGGCCTCCTGTCAGTGGGCGCCGATCATGTCCTTGGCCTGCGCGGCTCGTGCGCGCGCCAGGATGGACAGCACGGTGCGCTTGGTCGGCGACATGGCGATGTAGGGCCGCTTCCTCCCTGCTCCAGCTGCTGCCGTGCGCGCGCAGAACAGGCGAGCAGCCACGTCAGGGCCTGGGCAAAGTAGAAGAATCAGGTCTCGGGTGGGCAGGCGGTGGGAGCGGGCGGCGCCCACCCTGCGGCTGGAGGGGTGTGCTCACCGATGGGGCTGTGCAGGCCGCGTGAGGGCCCGGGCGCCAGGGGCCCCGCGGCGAGCGCGCCGGGCGCCACACTGGGCTCCAGGCACGCGGGGTCGGGTAGCGGGCCCAGCCCTGCCGCGGCCGCCGCCACAGCGTCCTCCTGGGGGGACGCGCCGGGCCCGGCCGGCCCCGCCAGGTGCTTGAGGTGATCCCGGGAGCTCTTGAGCACGTGCAGCTCCCACATCTGCTCCTGGCGGATGTCGTCATTGAAGTCCTGCAAGGCACACGGGCACAAAGTTGGGTGAGAGGCGAAGAGTGGTGTGAGGCGTCGCGCGGCGTCCTCAAAGTGGGTCTCCTCGGCCATGCGCGTCTAGTGGCGTCGCCCGGGGCGCTTCGACACTCGCGACTGTTTGTCAACTTTTAAAATGAAGGAATGGACACCCATGTTCAGGGTTTTCACGCGTCAGGAAAATCAGGACGTTGCTAGGATGTTAGGGAAAAGTGTAAGGAAAAGTCGCTTCAGGTACGATAATGGCTCTCCCGCCCAAGCGACAGTAGCGCCCCCCTTTTAGAGCAACTTTGAGAGCCCGGGCACTCTTCTCAAATACATGGATTTCGTCAAAAAATTACAGGATATTTTGAGATTGCAATTCTGTGGCAACCCTTAAGTTCCATGTTGGCGCATGGTGATGGTGGCCGTGTCTCGCTACGGAACACCGCCCTGCGCGTAATCTCCCTCTCTGGGGCTCAACGTGCTAACTGTTGAACCTACCGGCACGAGAAACCTTCGCACTTCTGCGAGTGCCAGGGCGATCCTGGCGTGGGCCTCGGCTGGTGGCGCCAAGGCAGTAACCTCCACGTGCAGCTCAAGCTGCAGGTGGCAGAACTTTGGATCCCCCGAGAGACGTAGCTCCTCCTCCTGGAACAGAAACACACAGCGTTAGGCAGATCCTATTTTTTTCTTATTTTGTGCCAGCTATGTTCAGCACGAACGGAGTTAGGGATCCCAACCAACAAAAAACTACACGCGCGGGTGTGAAAACCCCCTTGCAGCTGCGATCTTGTGACCTGCATATCCTCCCACATATCTCTCACCTTAACCCACTCTATATAATAACCCACTCTATATTGTCCAGGTAAAGGCGCATTTAGATCAGCCCTAGATTATTCCGAGTGGCGGATTGGCCTACCCGATCACGGCAAGTGGGCTTCTCCTACCCTCCCCCAACGTTCTTCCCCACCCTGGCCCGCGGCCAGCCCATACCGATGGCTTGTCGCGGGCAATATCTCACACAGGTATAAAGAGGGTGAGGCCAGTGGCGGGACGTGCTGAGCCGAGGTGGCAAAACAATTTGAGGGACGGTGTCCCGGCCAAGTTCGGGCTATGTCCTACGCTGCGCCTATCAAAATAAATGCCCTTCAAGATTTAGGAGAGCAGAAATTAATGCAATTGGCAATCAATATCTGTCGTTTTAAATCTGATCGCCTTCGAGCCTTCTACACTTTTATTGTTAACAATACTTATTTCTTCTATATCAGCGAGAACTTTTATTTTATTTTGCTTTGAGGTGAGTGCATTTCTTTTCTATAAGCGTGCACGTAATAGGCACGGTGACGTTAAGACTTGCACACTATTCTTTGCTTCCTCGTCGCAGTAGCATGGACTTTTTGTCTGAATTGTAGTGTGACAACTTGTAAATTATGTCTTCAATTTTCTGAGCATATAATCTCCTTCGTATTCACCATAGTCTAGATGTAGACGAGATAGATTCAATGTTGTACATTTATTACCCAACCTGGCACTACCCTTAGGGTAGCATCAGCTCTCCTCTGCTGTTTCTACTGTTCAAGGCGCCTCGAACAGTACGCGATAACAGATCCAGCGACAACCGGGTTCCCTCGTCTGGACAAAGTTTTAATGATAATGTCTCCTAATAACAGCGAAGGGTTCGCCGAGTTTCCACCCCTTCTCCAGCGGCTTACGCGAAGCAATTGGAAGCAAACTAATAGAGCTCTTGATTGAACAAAGCAGGGGTAGCGCAGTTGCAAATCACATTGGGGAAAGAGCGTTTGGCACATTGAAACACGAGCCACGCGCCTGTCCGGTCGAGACTACTATCCGATCAAATACAGGGTGGCCCACAGACCCCTTCTTTTAATTTGCTTTATACTGTACCGCATGCAAGCGTGTGGGCAGGCTTGCCTACCCTAGCTCGCCGTTGCGCCATATGGTCCCGTGCGAGTATGCAACCCGGCCACACGCCTATAAGCAAAATAAAGGAAGGGGTCTCTGGCCCATTCTGTAGCTTACCTTCTGCCGGTCCCGCATGGAGCCGCGACCGAGGATGGCCATCTTTGTCATCGTCTCCTCCTGTAGGCGCTTCAGAGAGTTGCCCTGCGGTCCGAGCAGCTTTCCGACAAAGTTGAACTGCAACAGAAACGGGGCAGAGTTGTAGTGGGAGTGGGCGAGTGTGAAGGTGAGTGGGCGAGTTAATGCAGGGGAGACAGCTCTATGCGGGGATGAGCACAACCTCGTCGAGATGTCAAACACTCTGGCGCACTGGGCGCGCGACTACGCAGTCGTTGGGGTAGGGAGGGGGATGGCAAGCAGCAGCTTCAACATCACCAGATTTTTTAAATTGACCCAGTGCCAGGGCCCGAGCAGCTGCTTGCTCGCCCGGCACGCACAGCCCCAGCAGGCGCGCCGCTCTTCCGCCCCGCGCTATCTCGTACAGATGGGTAAGCACGACGCATGTCTGTCGACAAGCTCCTCTCCCACCCCCCGTGCTCTGCATTTTTCCCCCTCCTCTGGTTCCCTCGCTTCCCTTGCCTCCCTCTTCACTTGGGGTTGGCTCATTCTCTGTGAAGGGTGACTCGAGTGATAACACGCATCGATACCATAGAGAGAGAGCGAGAGCGAGACCCCACCGAGCCGCCAACCTCTCGCCTCGCCCCCGCGCTCCACCGCCCCAGCGGCGCATCCCGCCGCCGCGCAGCGCGCTCACAAATATTGTGCTTTCATTTGCATTGGGAAGCAGCGGGCGAACACGCGAACGGCAGTCGCACAAAAAGCAGACTGCCGACGTAAATTGTTATTCTTCTAGCCGGATAGAGCCCAGCCGCTGCCCTCAGAGCACGAACAAAATGCGCTGGAAAATACTATTTTGCAGCACCGTTTTTCCTGCGAAAAAATAAACGTTTGATCGTGCCCGTACGGCCACAGGACATGCAGCCCCCTCCTGGGCGGCGGCTCGCTGCCCATTGCAAGTAGTAACCTTTTCACTCAATCAGACTGCATCATAGGGTCGTGGAATAGTACCCATTGCCAACGCAATACACAGGAGTTCTCCAAACCTAGCCACACCGTGGCAATAATAGAGGCGTCCCTTTTGTGGGGACCGCAGGCCTCCTGTCCGCTGCCGTGCCGTGACAGCGGCAAAGGGGGTAATTCACAATTAGTGCGAGGGCAACAACAACAGGCCCATTCATTTCCGACTGCTACAAATTATGTCTCGGTGCTGGAGTTCAAGAGGGCGAAAGAAACGGCTTGGGTGGGTGGCTGAACGTTTGCCCATTTCTTGCAGTTGCGAGAGCGTGCCGCACACCTTTCGCAAATAGGTCAATGCTAATTTTAACCAAGATTCCGAATAAGAATGACAACAAACATGGTTTTAAACATGTAAAGGAGCAAGCGCCAGTTTTAAATAAACAGACAGCTGTGCACTTACTCATAAAATCTGTTCATATTTTGTACGCCACTCTGAGTAACTGCTGAGCTGTCAAAGTGCATAGACAATTTGTTCTTATGAGTCCTCTCGTTTGTACTAATATATCAGATATTCGTTAACTGTCTGAACGATTTTAAGGTTAATATGCTTCTGAAGGGCCGGTGGGCTTTTCACGACAGAGGATCTTCTCACTTCGAACGCGAAGAGATATAGTATGAACAAACTATCTCCGAACTACGATAGCACACAAAATTGTACTTCAGAACGTAAACATTCGCAAAAATATGTTGCTTGACATTTCATTTATTTTTTTACTGCAGGACAGCATGCTCTTGTTGCGAAAAGAGCTTGCCGTGGCGGGGAAGCAAACTGCTTAGTCGCAATCACAGCTCACATTGAGTAGCATAAAAGAAACTGCAGCATCCCCGTGATGACTGTTCTGGAGGCGGCACCACGCTGCCTCGGAGAAATACAACTCATTATGTCTTTCCTCGGCAGTGTACTATGACACAACTATCTCGCCCGCGCCGTCGTAGCTGGATCGCGCGTCGCAATTTGAATAGATTTGTATTCGCGCGCGTTTCAGATTCAAATTGCAAATATGATGCTCTGTTGTTAAGCCTGAGGCGGGCGGGCGAATCCACTTTCTCCGCTGCTTCGTTTCCCCCCCTCCCACTCCCCCCTTACTGGTCGCTAGCGGCCCCCGCAAGACGTGTCTCCGTCTCCCTCATTCTGTACGTAAACGCCGTCTTCTTTTTCATCATCTTCTTCGCCGTCATAATCCTTGTCTCTGCTCGACGACCACGACAAGCAACGAAAGCTAGAAAATTCAAATTCAAGAGACGTCGTCGTTGTCGCAAAGAAGCCAGAAGCTCCCCCTCGCCGGCGACGGTACAGCGCGACCACGCGGCGGCGGTCAAATTAGAGACCGGCGCTGCTGCTGCTTCCCCTACGCAAACCGCCCCACCGCCGCGGCCAAACAGCTCGCCTCCCGCTGATGAAATGGAACGACACTTATTTGCAGCGTTTGGCACATTGAAACACGAGCCTGTCTGGTCGAGACTACTATCCGATCATATACGGGGTGGTCCACAGACCCCCCTTTTTTAATTTGCTTATACTCTACCGCATGCAGGCGTACGGGCGGGCTTGCCTACCCTCCCTAGCTCGCCGTTGCGCCTTATAGTCCCGTGCGAGTAAGCAACGTATGCAACCTGGCCACACGCCTATAAGCAAAATAAAGGAAGGGGTCTCTGGCCCATTCTGTAGCTTACCTTCTGCCGGTCCCGCATGGAGCCGCGACCGAGGATGGCCATCTTTGTCATCGTCTCCTCCTGTAGGCGCTTCAGAGAGTTGCCCTGCGGTCCGAGCAGCTTTCCGACAAAGTTGAACTGCAACAGAAACGGGGCAGAGCCTTAGTGGGAGTGGGCGAGTGTGAAGGTGAGTGGGCGAGTTAATGCAGGGGAGACAGCTCTATGCGGGGATGAGCACAACCTCGTCGAGATGTCGAACACTGAGGCGCACTGGCCGCGCGACTACGCAGTCGTTGGGGTAGGATGGCAAGCAGCAGCTTCAACATCACCAGATTTTTTAAATTGACCCAGTGCCAGGGCCCGAGCAGCTGCTTGCTCGCCCGGCACGCACAGCCCCAGCAGGCGCGCCGCTCTTCCGCCCCGCGCTATCTCGTACAGATGGGTAAGCACGACGCATGTCTGTCGACAAGCTCCTCTCCCACCCCCCGTGCTCTGCATTTTTCCCCCTCCTCTGGTTCCCTCGCTTCCCTTGCCTCCCTCTTCACTTGGGGTTGGCTCATTCTCTGTGAAGGGTGACTCGAGTGATAACACGCATCGATACCATAGAGAGAGAGCGAGAGCGAGACCCCACCGAGCCGCCAACCTCTCGCCTCGCCCCCGCGCTCCACCGCCCCAGCGGCGCATCCCGCCGCCGCGCAGCGCGCTCACAAATATTGTGCTTTCATTTGCATTGGGAAGCAGCGGGCGAACACGCGAACGGCAGTCGCACAAAAAGCAGACTGCCGACGTAAATTGTTATTCTTCTAGCCGGATAGAGCCCAGCCGCTGCCCTCAGAGCACGAACAAAATGCGCTGGAAAATACTATTTTGCAGCACCGTTTTTCCTGCGAAAAAATAAACGTTTGATCGTGCCCGTACGGCCACAGGACGTGGACGGCTCGCTGCCCATTGCAAGTAGTAACCTTTTCACTCAATCAGACTGCATCATAGGGTCGTGGAATAGTACCCATTGCCAACGCAATACACAGGAGTTCTCCAAACCTAGCCACACCGTGGCAATAATAGAGGCGTCCCTTTTGTGGGGACCGCAGGCCTCCTGTCCGCTGCGGTGCCTTGACAGCGGCAAAGGGGGTAATTCACAATTAGTGCGGGGGCAACAACAACAGGCCCATTCATTTCCGACTGCTACAAATTATGTCTCGGTGCTGGAGTTCAAGAGGGCGAAAGAAACGGCTTGGGTGGGTGGCTGAACGTTTGCCCATTTCTTGCAGTTGCGAGAGCGTGCCGCACACCTTTCGCAAATAGGTCAATGCTAATTTTAACCAAGATTCCGAATAAGAATGACAACAAACATGGTTTTAAACATGTAAAGGAGCAAGCGCCAGTTTTAAACAGACAGCTGTGCACTTACTCATAAAATCTGTTCATATTTTGTACGCCACTCTGAGTAACTGCTGAGCTGTCAAAGTGCATAGACAATTTGTTCTTATGAGTCCTCTCGTTTGTACTAATATATCAGATATTCGTTAACTGTCTGAACGATTTTAAGGTTAATATGCTTCTGAAGGGCCGGTGGGCTTTTCACGACAGAGGATCTTCTCACTTCGAACGCGAAGAGATATAGTATGAACAAACTATCTCCGAACTACGATAGCACACAAAATTGTACTTCAGAACGTAAACATTCGCAAAAATATGTTGCTTGACATTTCATTTATTTTTTTACTGCAGGACAGCATGCTCTTGTTGCGAAAAGAGCTTGCCGTGGCGGGGAAGCAAACTGCTTAGTCGCAATCACAGCTCACATTGAGTAGCATAAAAGAAACTGCAGCATCCCCGTGATGACTGTTCTGGAGGCGGCACCACGCTGCCTCGGAGAAATACAACTCATTATGTCTTTCCTCGGCAGTGTACTATGACACAACTATCTCGCCCGCGCCGTCGTAGCTGGATCGCGCGTCGCAATTTGAATAGATTTGTATTCGCGCGCGTTTCAGATTCAAATTGCAAATATGATGCTCTGTTGTTAAGCCTGAGGCGGGCGGGCGAATCCACTTTCTCCGCTGCTTCGTTTCCCCCCCTCCCACTCCCCCCTTACTGGTCGCTAGCGGCCCCCGCAAGACGTGTCTCCGTCTCCCTCATTCTGTACGTAAACGCCGTCTTCTTTTTCATCATCTTCTTCGCCGTCATAATCCTTGTCTCTGCTCGACGACCACGACAAGCAACGAAAGCTAGAAAATTCAAATTCAAGAGACGTCGTCGTTGTCGCAAAGAAGCCAGAAGCTCCCCCTCGCCGGCGACGGTACAGCGCGACCACGCGGCGGCGGTCAAATTAGAGACCGGCGCTGCTGCTGCTTCCCCTACGCAAACCGCCCCGCCGCCGCGGCCAAACAGCTCGCCTCCCGCTGATGAAATGGAACGACACTTATTTGCAGCCGAAACTATCGTCCGTTTGGACTGGCAGGACTCTCCCGGGAGAGGAGCGCTCGCCGCGCAGACGTGTCGGCAATGAATAAACAGAATCAGACTCTGGAGGGCGAGGCGAAAACACCAACACCCCCGCCGCCCACTTGACAAATGAGATGAAATAATCGAAAACACGCAAAGTGAGAGCGTTTAACGGCCGTGATTCCCGAAAAATAGGCGCGCGTGTGCGAGTGGGCCGGCGGGGAGGGAGAGGGGAGAGAGAGGGGGCGATTTTAATTTGACGCCGGGCTCAAGTGGAACGCGAAATGGCGCGGTGAAGGCGGTTAGCGCGGTGGCGCTCCGGGGGCGGCTACGGCTCGGCCAGCCCAACTAGCGCGGCGAGAGAGAGAGGGGGGGGGGCAACGGGACGATATGAGACGGTGACTGAGGAGGCTTTAGCAGCCCACTTTGCATTCAAATGTCGCAGCAGCGGGCGCGTTCTGTAGAGGGCGCTCGTCGAGGGGGGCACGAGGGAGAGAAAAGAAGGGGAGGAGGGGGTCTCATATCACGACCCGCACGAGGCCAAGTCCGGTCCTTCTATCCTTGTGCTGACGAGAAAAGCCGTCGTCTTATTTCGGACGAAGAAACAGAGGCATCGAAACAGAACAAGATAGAGACCGAGCCTACAAAAGGAAGCATGATAGCATACTTGTACACTATAATCGCGATGAGGAAATAAATGAGAAATAAACGAAACATGTGGGGGAGAGATAACGACCGTGGGAGTATGTCAGTGTAATGTCCTCACCAATAAAGCACCCCCACCCCCCTTATCATGCACCCCTAATGGATTATGAACGGCAACCACATGCTATAACTAAAATTACTACCAAAGTTCATTTACAAAAGCACGCCGCTGGGAGCTGGTGTGGCGCTGAGCTGCCGTCGAGAGCTGGCGGGAGCGGGGGGAGAGTGGGCGGGAGCAAGGCGAGGGGGGGAGGTGTGTCTCAATCTGCCTCCTCGCACCAACGGCAAAGCTTGGGAAAACACACTATAGGCGCGAAAGGTTGCAGGGTACGAAGGTGGGAGAGACTCTCCCTCTCCCTCTCCCTCTCCCCGCCCGCTCACCTCGCGCACACAAACACACCCAGGCCGCCGTGTGCAGATTAATTATTTGCGAGCGAATCAGTCGCGTCGAGGCGGGGTGGGGCGGCGGGGCCCACGGCCCACAGAGCTGGCTGGCGCCGGCCCGGCACAGCCCCGCGGGGTCGTTGTTGAAGGCGCAGGCACGTCATCAGCCGCGCTGTACCGCTCCGCAAAGTTGTAGGGTGTAACGTCGTAAACGCTGGAAATTAGCGAGCGAAGTGGGCGGGAGAG